AGTGGGATTTGGGGGCGGCATGATGGGACCTGGGGTGGCACAAGGGGATTTGGGGCAGCGGAGAGGGATATGGGGCAGCAGAAGGGGATCTGGGATGGCATGAAGGGACCTGGGGCCCCCCCAGCAGCTCTGAGCCCAGCTCCCGCATGCTCCGGTGTGGCCTGAGCACACAGGAACTGGCCCCATGGCGCAACAGGAAACGAGATGCAAATTGTCATCAGGGAGGAGGAATTCAGGATGAGTTTCTGGAGCCTGAGGGGGGGGGTCTCAGGCCAGGGAGGGGGGTGGTGGGGGTGGTCCCATGTCAGGTGGGGTAGCTCAGGGTTCCCCACTGCCCTGCAGGACACCGGGGTCCGCCGGCCGCCCCCATGGAGCAGGAGGAGCCCTGCGTGGTGGAGCTGCACGACTCGGACGAGGGGGACATGGTCCGGAGGGTCTACATTGGTGAGGAGGGGGCGAGGGTGGGCTGGGGAGGGGGGACCCAGCTCTGGAGGGGGGGACGCCTGTCCCCGGGGTGGGGGGCGCCAGCCCCCTCCCCAGCCTCTCTACCCACCCCCGCAGCCGACGATGGCATCGTGAGCGATTGCGAGGACGAGGTCCTGCCCCACGAGATCATCCAGACCGTCATCCCCCACAGCCCCCTAGCCCCCAAAAGCAAGAAACGAGGAGGGCAGCCCAGCTCCGGTGCCGCGACGTCGGCAGGGGGCTACGGTGAGGAGGAAGAGGGGGAGGGCGTGGGGGGACGGCACCGGGGTGGCCGTCAGCGCCCCTTTATCTGCAACGAGTGCGGGAAGAGCTTCAGCCACTGGTCGAAGCTGCTGCGGCATCAGCGGACTCACACCGGGGAACGGCCCAGCACCTGTGGGGAGTGCGGCAAGAGCTTCAGCCAAAACTCGCACCTGGTTCAGCACCGTCGGACGCACACCGGGGAGAAGCCATATCGCTGCGGGGACTGCGGCAAGAGCTTCAGCTGGAGCTCCAACCTCATCCAACACCAGCGCATCCACACCGGGGAGAAGCCCTACACCTGTGGGCAGTGCGGCAAGAGCTTCACCCAAAGCAAGAACCTCATCAAGCACCAACGCACCCACTCGGGCGCCCGGCCCCACCGCTGCGGGCAGTGCGGCCGCGGCTTTGCCCAGAGCACCAACCTGCTGAAGCATCAGCGGGTTCACGCTGCCCGCGGCCAGCCCTCACCCTGCCCAGAGTGCGGGCAGAGCTGCCGCGACGGTGCTGAGCTGGAGCGTCACCGAGCGCAGGCTCATGGCCATGAGCCCTACATCTGCGTGGAGTGCGGGGAGAGCTTCGCCAAGAGTGCCACACTCAACCGCCACAAGCGCGTCCACAAGCCCCTCTTTGTCCGCTGAGACTGGCTGGGGGGACACGAGGGGGGACGCACGGACTGCGCTGCGGGCAGGGGGACGAGGTGACGCCAAGCCACGCCGGACACCGTTGTGGTTTGTGTGGCCCCTAACGGACACAGGCTGGACCTCGGTGACCCCCCCATAGGGGATGGACCCTATAGATGTATATACTGGGGTTGGGGGTGGGGGGCGGGACGGACACACGTAGGGTAGAAGCCATGGGGCACCACCAGGCAGACCCTGCGCTGGGGGAGCGAAGCGCGGCTGGATGGGGCCTTGGCCATGGAATAAAGTTGTTCTGTTTGGGGGAAGGTGGATTATTTTGTCTCGGGGGGGTAAAAAGCCCCACAGGGGTGTTGGGGGGGACCTAGCTGAGGCCTTGCAAAGTTGGGCGAGAGAGGCTGGAGATGGAGGGAGCAGCGGGATTCCTGGGATAAGGCTGCCCCAAGTCGCGTGGCCACAGACCTGGCAGAGCCCCCCCCAACGCCACCCCCAAAAGCACCCCGCTTTGAGAAGTCAATTCATTTATTCCGCACCGCGGCAGCAAGATGCTGCCTACAAAAAGTGGGGGCTGGTGCTGCCGGGCACCATGGGGGTGGAAAGAGGCGCTGGAGAACCAGGACAGAGAGAGCCAGGATGGGGTCGGGGGCTGCGCTGCACCCCACGGCTCCCTCCAGCCTCGGCTCCCATCCCAGCGGCAATGGCGAGGAGGGGGGCCTGTGAGGCTGAAGGCTAAGCCTTGGTGGTCGCACCCTGCGTGGCTCCCAAGGCCGTGAGCTGCTGGATCTTCTGGCTCATCATTTCCACCACGGCTGCAGGGAGAGAAGGGGGCTGGGGAGTCGGGGGAGGCTTCTGGGGGTGCCCCCCAAGAGCGAGGAGGGAGCCAGCTGCTTACCCTGCTTCATAGCATGTTTCTCCTGCAGTGCTGGCTGGATCTTCTCCATCTGCTTCGTCAGGAAGTCGATTTTCCGCTTGAAAAAGTCTCGGGCGTCATCTGCTGTCTGAGGGAAGGGGCAGCAAGGGAGTTAAGGGGGGCCTCCATGACACAAACATGGGGAGCAGTTCCCCAGGAAAGGCACCGAGCCACCCCCCCAAACCCGACAGTGTCCCTCACGCACACCCCTCACCTTCTCCACATAGTAGCCAGTTCCGACATCGATCAGGACACGCTCGACATCCGAGAGCTTCCCTGGGACATACATCTGGGAGGGGGTGTTAGGGAAAGCAGGGAACCGGGAGGGTTACACGGCTCTGGCAGGAAAGGCAGGGACAGAGCCTGGGTGTGCCAGGTAGCGGCACCACAGCGTGATGGTGGCGCCACTGGTTTGGCACAAACAGCCCCAAGGGGAGTGAATTTGCGGGGGTGAGAAAGGATACAGAGCTGGTGAGGGGCACCAGCAGGTCCTTCCCTGTGAAAAAGCAAGCAGAGGCGAGTGAGGGGAGCCCACAGGGCCACAACTCAACATCTGGGCAGGGTGTTGTAACATCTGGGCCACTCCAGCAGCCCCCTCAGCCTCTCTGCCGGGCACGAGGTGCCAGAGCCTGGGCCAAAAGAGCTGACACGGGGGCTCTGGGTGGTTTGTTCAGAGCAGGACTTGGTACGTCTCAGCCCTAGGGAGGAAGGAGTGATTTGGGGGAGCAGCCAGGGCCGGCAAAGCCAGGGAAGAGGGTACCGGCCTCTGGGGGCTTGGCACAGCGCCCCCTGGTCCAGCTGGGATGGGGGGGATCCCACTCGCCTTCATTGCTCTTGTTGAGCACGTTGAGGCAGTCCTTGGCTTCCACATACTTGGTCTGCACCACCTTGAGCTGAGCAATAGAGGACGAGAGGAACTCCACCTCCTGGCAGAGAGCACAGCCCTGTCAGTGGGGAGAGGGCCCCGGGGCTGGGGGGGGGAGCAGGAGGGAGCCTGGAACAGCCCCAAAGAGCAAGTGCCAGAGCCCCAAGAGATGTCACGGAGGGGGGGCCACAGTCCCACACCCAGCGGTGTCTCCAAGCCAGTGTCACACAGGGTGACATGGGGCTGAAGCACCTCACCCGGTCAGCTCCAGCCTCGTCACCCCCTCAACCCAGCCACCCAGTTTCTACCTCAGTATTCCTCAGAGCCCAGTCTGGTCCAGCACACCTCCCCCAGTTCCAAACAGCTCACTCTGCCTCCACACATGCCCCCCCCGCCCCGAGTCCGGGCCTGTCGCTCCCACCCCAGCTCAGCCTGGTCCCACACATCCCCTCCCACCTCCACAGCCCAGTCTGGTCCAGTATAGCCCCCCCCTCCCCCCGCCCCAGCCCAGTCAGGCCCCACACATCATCCCCCAGCCCCTCCCAGCCCAACGCGTTCCCACACAGCCCCAGGCGGGCGGGCCCGACCCCACAGAGCCCCCCTCGGCCCCACACAGTCCCCCCCGACGCGACCCCACCTGATCCAGCTGCCCCTTGAGCAGCTCCAGCTGCGGCAGCGGCAGCTCCCCCACGTTCACCGTCTGCGCCATCTTGGGCCGCCGCGACGCTCTAGCACCCCTCAGGCCTCTCGCTGCTCCGCCGGACGCGTGCCCCCTAGCGGCCGGCAGCGCCCCGGGGGGGGAGGCAGCAGGCCCCCCCCCCAAAGTCGGGGAGGGGGGGGCAGCTCTCTTGTAGCGCCCCAATACCCTCCCCCAGGGAAAAGGGTCCTTCCCCCCATGGAAGGGGCATCCAAGGTGCCCCCCCAGGGGCAGAGGCTAAAGCCCAGCACTGTCATGGTGATGGAACCCTGAGCAAGCAGCCCCCCCCCACCTTCCCAGGGCTCCTGGGGACCCCCTAACACCAAAAACCAAGGGATGGGGGGGGGGAGCAGCAAAGGCTGGGGGCTCTGGGTCACCTCCAGCAGCAGAGGAGGAGGGCAGGAGTCTTGGAGACCTTCCCTGGGGGGGGAGGGGGGGGGTCCAGCCTTGGGGAGAGTGAACAAATGGGCAACAGGGTGGTGGGGGAACAGGAGGGAGCAGGGCAATAGCTTTATTGTCACAGAACACGCAAATAAAAACACTTTCGTTAAAATAAATTAAAGCAGTTGTAAACACAGACACACACACACCCCGCGAGTCCCCAACTGCCTCCCCACGGGGACGGCGGCCCCCTCCAGCCCTCACTGCAGGCAGACGGGCAGCCCGTAGGCAACGGGGGCTGCCCCGACGAGGTACTTAAGTTTGGGGGCTTGGCGGGCCTGGGTGACGTAGGACAGGAGCGGGGCACCCGAGCCCCCCCTCAGCCAGCCCTGCAGCAGCGCTTGGGCATAGCGGTCGATCTCCCGGTCTGTCACATCCCACAGGTTCCCCAGGACGAAGGGGCTGGAAGGGAGGAGGGCATTAGACCCATTCCCACCCCAAAAAAAACCCAGCACCATGCATACAAAGCCTCTGCCCCCCTCACAGACACCCCCCCACTCCGTAACTCACCAGCCGGCCATGATGTACTTGAGGATGATGCCGGAGCCCTCCAGGCTGCCACGGACAGCGAGCGCGGCGCTGCTGCAGCCGAAGAGCAGGGCGACGGCACGGCAATCCAGCCGGGCGATGGTCTGTCCGTCCAGTAAGCGGGCACCTGCTCCGTGGCCCGCATAACTATGGGAAGAAGCCCCCCCAGGTGAGCTCCGGCTGCCCTCGTACACCCCCCCCCCAGGGTCTCCCCAAGCAGCCCTGGTGATGCTCACATGTAGAGGTCGTGCTCCAGGAGGGCTGCCTGCATCTGCTCCGGCCTTGGGACGGCTCCTGTCACACCTCTCCAGCCAGGTTCGCTGTGGGAGAGCTGGTGAGAAGGGGGTGGGGGGCACAGACCATGCCCCCTAACCCCATATCCCCCCTCCAAGATCTCCACCCACCTCTCAAACCAGCCCCGAAATCGTTCCTCAGTGCCCAGGAGGTTGCTGTGTGGGTTGAGGACGTAGAAGGTGCTGCTGGGGTTCACTCCGCGGCTCAGCACGGACCCTGACTGCTGCCAGAGCAGGGGAGACGAGTGGGTCCCAGCCCAGCGCAAGGTTTGGGGGGTTCCCCCAAACCCCGGGGCTGGGGTACACGGGGTCTCCCATCCTCTCACCTCCTGTGCCAGGGAGTAGCTGACCAGGAAGCGCAGGGAAGGGAGCCTGGTTACAGGCACAGCCTTCAGGCACGCCATGCTCTCCCAGGGCAGCTTCTGCAGGTGCTGGGAGGAAGAGGAGGAGGAGGAGGAGGAAGGCGTGAGCGGGAGGGAGGTTAGCAGAGCCAGGAGGAGGTGAAGCAGGAGCTGGGGTCTCACCTTATCCAGAACCAGGACGAGGGAGCCGCCCATCTGCGTGGTGCAGGCTCTCCACTTCTCCACCGCCTCCTGCAAGAGGAGCTGAGCCTTGCGGGGCTGCGCTGGGCAGAGGCTGAAGGCCAGGGCTTGCACGTCATGGGGGCCAAGAAGGGAAGCAGTGTTCAGCACCACCTGCGAGGAGGAGGAAGGGGTGAGCATCGGCAAAGCAGGGGTTCAGTTCCCCCAAACCCTGCCCCAGCCCGGGCACCTTGAGCAGGGTGGGATCCGAGTCCCTCCAGCCGCACTGGCAGAGCTGGGTGTGCAAATGGGTGGCTTCCTCTGCCAGACTGGGATGGGGAGCAGTGGGGATCAGGGCCCCCCTCCAGCAGCCCAGCACCTGCGTCTCCAGGGTCTCGATGAGGCTCTGCAAGAGGTCAGAGAGTCACTGAGGGGGCTCCGGACCGCCCAACCTCCTCTGAAGTATGCCCCACGTCAGGGTGCAGGGTGGTTTTCCCCCACCTTCATCCTGCGGTCCAGCTCGGAGCGGCGCAGCCACCATTCTCGCTTGTCCGTGCAGCTGTTGACTTCCTTCTGCTCCTTCTGGATGGCATCAAAGTCGCTCAGCACCGAGCGCAGCGGGGCCTGGAGGAGGAAGGGAGCCATGATCCAAGCCGCAAACATGGCTGGGCTGCCCCTCTCCCATCCCTGCCCTCACCTTGGCGAGCGCGGTGGGGATACGGATGTTCACAGGAGTAGTGCCCTTCTCCAGCCGTGCCAGCAGCAGCGTGTCCCCTACGGAGCCAGGCCGGATGCTGACGAGGGTCAACACGCACACTGTCACCCCTGAAAGTCACACCCAGACCTTAAGGACAGCCCCAAGGGCACCATCCATCACTTAACACCCTCCTGGGCAATGAGCTGCCTGGTCCCTCTGCTCCCATCAGCCCTTACCGCTGGGGATCTGCTGCAGCTGCGCCTGGAAGCTGTCCCGCTCCTCAGATCCCAGCCCTGTGGAGCTGAACATGAAGAGTCTCTCAAGTTCGGTGAGGTGGTGTCTGCGCTGGGCAGCGCTCCCCTCCTGCAAGGAGAGCCCCCGGAGCTGCTCGGCCACGTCCCCCGCTGACTTCTTCTCTTTGCTGCAGAGGGAAAGGCAGTCAGGGGGGAATAACCACCCCAAAATCACCTTTGCTGGGGCTCTGCTGGTGTTGGGTGAGCCCCTTCTCCGTGATGCTCTGTGGATGGAGGGAGGTGAGACCGAGGGACTCACTGAATCTTCCTGTGGATGATGCTGAGCAGCTGATGGCGAGTGGTGACGGAGACTGACTCGGAGAGCAGGTACGCGGTGAGGAGGGGGTCCTGGTTCCCCATGGCCAGAGCCAGGAGCTGGCAGAGCTGGCTGTAGAGTGCACCGGGAGGGCAGTGGCTGATGCAGTTGAAAGCATCTTTCAGGAGCTCAAGGACTGTGTCCAGCGAGGAGACATCTGGAAGGGACAAAGCAGCAAAACCCCAGGATCAGCCGCCGAGCCCTTGGGCAACACTTGAAGCAGTGGCGAGGGGAGGTGGAGCAGGGAGCAGAGGGGATAGACCTAGCATCCCCATCACAGCCACCAGCTCCCAGCCCGAGACCAGCATCCCATGCACTGGAGGCTTGCAGACCAGTCCCGTGTTACCCTTGGCCAGCAGGGTGGGTTTTTTTCGATAATGGGATGGCCTACACGGCACCAGGCCTGCTGGCATCGGATGGGATTCACCTTTCTCAAAGAGAGAAGAAGATCTTTGCTCACGAGCTAGCAGAGCTCATTGACAGAGCTTTAAACTAGACTTGGAGGGGAGTGGGATGAAATCAGGCTTGCCCGCGACAAGCTGTGGGACAATAGGCCAAGGCTAGAGGGATGGGGTGCTAGTGAGGAACCTCAGCCTGTTGCTCTGAGACATGCTGGGTACACTGGAAGTCTTACAGAGATGAGCCAGGGGCTCCTGAAGTAATAGGAGCCAAGAGGGAAACACCACTGAAACACCTCAAAGGAATTAAGGGGTGTTCCTCTAAGAAGGTGACAACAGCCCAGATGAAGTGCCTCCACACCAACACATGCAGCATGGGCAACAAACAGGAGCTGGAAGCCACCGTGCTGCTAGAAAGCTATGACCTAGTTGCCATTACTGAAATTTGATGGGATGAATCCCATGACTGGAGTGTGGCTCTCAAAGGCTACCGGCTGTTCAGAAGGGACAGGCAAGGAAGAAGGGGCAGAGGGGTTGTCCTCTACATCAAAAAATGGATCGATTGTGAAGAGCTGTCTCTGAAGAACGGCCACGAGCAGGTTGAAAGCTTATGGGTAAGAATTAGAGACCAAGGCAACAAAGGAAACTTTGAGGTTGGTGTCTACTGCAGGCTGCCCAATTGAGCGGAGCCTATCAACAAAGGCTTCATACTCCAGCTACAGGAGGCATCGCACTCACAGGCTCTCGTCCTGCTGGGGGACTTAAACCACCCCAATGTCTGCTGGAAAAGTAGCACGGCGAGCTGTAGGCAATCCAGGAGACTTCTGGAATGCATTGAGGATAACTTCTTAAGGCAGGTAACAGACAGCCCTACCAGAGGGGATGCAATACCAGAGCTGTTGGTCGCTAATGCAAATGAACTAATCGGTGACATCAAGACTGGAGGCAGCCTGGGCTGCAGTGATCGTGCACTGGTGGAGTTCACAGTCCTGAGGGATATGGGTCAGGCGAAGAGTAAAGTCAGGACCCTGAATTTACGGAAAGCAAACTGACAGCTGATCAAGGAGTTAGTCAACAGGAGCCCCTGGGAAACTGCCTTCAGGGACAAGGGAGCAGAACAGAGCTGGCCTATCTTTAAGGATGCTTTCTATAGAGTGCAAGAGCTCTCAACCCCCAGGTGTAAGAAATCAGGAAAGGAAAGCAAGAGACCAGCATGGGTAAGTCAAGACCTGCTGGTCAAACTAAAGGGCAAGAAGGAAACATACAGGCAGTGGAAGCAGGGACAGGTATCCTGGAAAGAGTATAGGGACGTTGTTGGGTTGGCGTCAGGAAGGCCAAGGCACTGCTTGAGCTGAACTTGGCAAGGGACACACAGAATATAAGAAGTGCTTCAACAGGTATGTCAGCCAGAAAAGGAAGGTCAAAGAAAGCATAGCCCCCCCCCGCCCCCCGCCGATCAACACAACTGGTAACAAAGGATGGGGACAAGGCTGAGGTACTCAACAACTTTTTGCCTCAGTCTTCACTGGCAACCTCTCTTCCCATACCTCTCCAGTGGATGGACCGCAAGACAGGGACTGGGGGAGCAAAGTCCCTTCCACAGTAAGAGAAGATCAGGTTCATGACCACCTGAGGAACCTGAACATACATAAGTCTATGGGACCTGACGAGATGCATCCCAGAGTCCTGAGGGAATTGGCCAATGTAGTTGCCAACCCACTCGCCATGATATTTGAAAAGTCATGGCAGTCAGGTGAAGTCCCCAGTGACTGGAAAAAATGGAAACATTGCACCCATTTTTAAAAAGCGTAGAAAGGAGGACCCTGGGAACTACCGACCCGTCAGCCTCACCTCTGTGCCTGGGAAGATCATGGAACAGATCCTCCTAGAAGCTCTGCTGAGGCACATGGAGGACAGGGAGGTGATTCGAGACAATAGTTCCATGTCCAGATGGAGATCAGTGACAAGTGGTGTCCCTCAGGGGGACGTACGGTTTAATATCTTCTTCAAAGACATAGACAGTGGGATCAAATGCACCCTCAGCAAGTCTGGGGATGGGGCGGGCTGACATGCCTGAGGGAGGGAATGCCATCCAGAGGAACCTGGACAAGCTCGAGAAGGGGGCCCCTGTGAACCTCATGAAGTTCAACAAGGCCAAGCACGAGGTCCTGCCCCTGGGTCGAGGCAAACCCCAGTACCAGCCCGGGCTGGGGGCTGAAGGGATGGAGAGCAGCCCTGCCCAGCAGGAACTGGGTGTACTGGGGGACAAAAAGCTGGCCATGAGCTGGCCATGTGCGCTCACAGCCCGGAAAGCCAACTGTCTCCTGGGCTACATCACCAGTCGAGGGAGGGGGTTTTGCCCCTCTGCTCTGCTCTGCCCAGACCTCCCCCCAGAGCACTGCGTCCAGCTCTGGAGTCCTCAGCACGGGAAGGATGCGGACCTGCTGGAGCGGGTCTGGAAACTCCTTCTCCCGGCACCAGGGAGCAGCCCCTACTCCTCCTCAGTTCTTTTGCTCTCTGCCCCTACAGTGGGTTTTGCCCATTTTAAAATATGTTTTTGCAGAGGTGCCACTGATTTCACCGAGAGGCTCAGCTTCAGATTTCCTCCCCCTACAGCTCCCCAACACCAAAACCTCCCCACCCACATGGGGCCGGGTTCTCACCGCCAGCCGTAGGCAGGGTGGAGGACAGGGTCCCCTCCAGGCGCAGGGGGTCCCCGCTGCCCAGCCACCGCGCTGCCAAGACGTCCTCGCCGGCCTCTTGCTGCAGGACCTCGTGCTCCACGTCTGCACCCTCCTGCCTGCGCCGAGGCAGCCGTCTCCTGCCTGCAGGGAGGGACAGAGGCACTTGGTCCCTGGGACTGGTGGCAGCAGTGGGGACAGCAACTGCTTAGGGGTGCACAAAGGCAGGACAGCCCCCCCCCCCCAATCCCTGGGGTAGCCCAGCTCACCTGGAGCTCCCTCCTCTTCCTCAGAGGCCCGCAAGACCTCAAAGCTGATCTCAAGCTCTTCCTCCACCTTCTCCTCTTCCTCAATGGTTCTCAGAAGATCCCGTTCCTCCACTCTCTTTCTGGGAGCCCTACGGGTCATCCGCTCCCTCTTCTCCTCCGCAGCCCCGGCTCGACGGCTGCCTGGCCGCCCTCTCCGGGGCTGGGCAGTGCTGCTCTGGCCACCAAACCCCAGCGAGCTTGCCTGGGACCCCATGGATTTGGCAGGCAGAGCTTTTCGGGCACAGGATGTCTTGCGGGTAGCTGTGGGAGTCGGCCCCGCTTCAGGATCCTCCATGTCGCTGTCATCACTGAACGTCACCTAAAGCGGAGGGACAGGGGGGTGTTGGGGCTGGTGCTGGGCGCACCGGGCTGCCCCTCGCCTCTCTCCTCACTCACCTTTAGGCGAGACTTGACTTTCTGCAAGACTTTGGGTGCTCGTGGGTGCCGGGACTTGCCAGCCGGCGGGGAGGATTCACTGAAGATGGTGAAGGGAGTCCTGGGGCCAAGGGCTGCACGTGCCTTGGCGAGGGGACAGGCTTTCTGGTGCGGGGTGCAGGGCACTGTCACCGGCTGGATGACGATGGGGGGCACCTCACTGTCCGAGTCACCCAGAGCAAAGGCGTCATCGGTGTTCGGCACAACCAGGGGCTTCGCTCTCTGGCTCTTCTTCACTCTGGGCTTGGGCATGGCAGGGGCCAATGCTGTCTTCTTTTTGCGCCTTTGAGGTTCAGCCTTGCCCATCTTGAGGGTCTGGGGCACAGCCGCCACTTTGGGCTCCATCGGAGTCAGCGTGGGCAGCTGGCAGTTCCTAGAGCTGGCAAAAACACCATCCACGGAGCTGCCGTGCTTGGAAGCCAGGCGGCAAACGGCGGCTGTGGCTTTGGTGAGCAGCAGGCTGGCCCTGGAGACCTCCAGGCTGGGCAGGTGGGGGCTGCAGGATGCTAAGGTGGTCAACCCCGTCTGCAGCTCCTCCTGCAGCTCCTCTGCCGGCCGGGGGCTGGCCAGGCTCTGAAGGGCCAACGCAGCATAGCCAGTGGCCACCAGATTGTCCAGCAGCTCCAGCACAGGCAGGTCCCGGCCGACGGAGCCGCCCCACAGCTTGTCTCGCAGCACGGCGGCGAAGCGTGTGGCCACGGCGGCGCAGCGTGGCAGCACCTCGTGGATCAGACCCAGCCCCTCGGCTGTGCTGCCCGCTGCCAGCTCGCCGTGGGCACAGGAGAGGAGCCAGCGCAGGCAGAGAGCTGAGAGGGCCAAGTCGGAGCAGAGGCGGCACAGGCAGGCTGCCGGGTGGGTGAGGAAGGCCAGTCTCTTCCTCCTCTCAGGCTTCAGCTCCGGTGAGGCGGTGAGAGCATCCGCCTTCTCCAGCCCACTCACTGTGGCCACAAACTCCAGTGCAGGGCCCTTCAGGAAAGCTTCCTCTTCCCTGAGGGGCTCAGAGATGGAGTCCCTTGGCTTCTTGCCCTCAAGTTTGCCTTTCCTGGGCAGGATCTTCATCTGGCCTTTCTGCCTCTGGCTGGCTCCAAGGTCTGTGGGCGGAGGAGAAGGTTATTTCGGTGTCTTCCCTGCACAGCCCTCCCCCAGCTCCCACCACAGACAGCCCAAGGAGGGGTGCAGAAGGCCAGACCCAACGCTCTGCTTTCCCCAGCTACGCCTTTATTGGCTGGAGGAATCGCTCGATGAACTGAAACGTGGCCCAGAGTCATCCCCCACCTCTGCACCCTCCGGGGTGACGAGGCTCAGCTGCTCCAGCAGCATCTGCACAAGGCTGGTCTTTCACCCCAGCCCAAAAGCGGGTGCAAGAGGGGTCATCCCTGGCACTGGCTGAGCTTGGAGCTTACCTCGGCCCCTCCATTCCCCTCCAAGCCCAGAGCAGGGACTCACCAGCATCAGACTCCAGGAGGAAGAGAGCCTGCTGGAGGTCGAAGTGGCTCAGCTCCAGCTCACTCTGCTGCAGCTCCAGCTGAGCCTTCAGCACCAGGAAAGAAGTACACCTGGGAGGGGGAGAAAAACAGCCCTCAGAGCCCCTCCACAACAGCCGTCGCTCCATTCCCAGGGCCATGCAGGAGGCAGGCAGCGAGGAACAAGCTCACGTCTGGCCTGGCAAGCTGAATTCACAGGATAACACACCCCAGAGCAGCTGCTTGTTCCAGACCAAGCTGAGAAGGTGCCAAACCCTCCCACCGGGGCCAGTCCCTCACCAAGGGACAAAGACACCAGTGTCCCCTGTGGCCACAGGGCAGCTCATCCCTAACCTAGCATTCCCCAAGCTCGGGGCCAGGCTCACCCCGCCACTCCACGGTCAACTCACCACCGGGTGGCTTGCAGTTTCACGGCGAGCTTGACAGCCTCCAAGCAGAAGGCTTTGGCTTTACACACCACCTCCAACCTGCCGAGGAGAGCCACGAGGTGCTCCGAACAGGCCAGTGTATCAGCCAGCACTTGCCACTTCAGCAGCAGGTTGTCCCCTGCGAGGGAGGACAAGAAGGTGATGGGAGCTGCTCCTCCGGGAGAGGCAGGCAAGGAGCCCGACTCTTTCCAGAGGAGCACTTGGGTTTTGGTCCACGCTAACAACCAGCTCACCGTAATCCACAAACTGGACATCGGCCGCTGTTTTCTGACAGCCCAGCACATCACTGCCCATCAGCAGGAGGATGATGCTGCGGAAAAGCTTCTGGGCTTCGACAAGAGCCGTCTTGGGACTCTTCCACCCTGTGCGAGGGCAGTCGTGGGTATCTGCACTAACCAAGACCCTCCCCAGACCCAGCACAGAGCAACTCGCCCAGATTCCCTCTCCTTGTCCCAAAAGGGGCTGCTTTGGAGAAACCCAGAGGTGAAACATTTGCACGGAGCTTCATCCATGACCCCTGTCAACCTGGCGCTCACCGGCAGGGTTTTAAACATCCCCTGCAACTCACCTTGCACAAAGATCTGCTGCCGAAGCTTGAGCGAGAGGCGGGCAGCAGGGAGGCTCAGGTAGACGGCCACCAGCTGAAGGACATGGGCTCGCAGCAGGTACCAGACCTTTGTGCTTTTTTGCAGAGCTGGGTTCTGGAGCACCTCCAGCAACAGGGTGAGACCCTCTTCAATCTGCAGAGGGAGAAAAAGAGTCACCATTTGTGGTCCAGGGTATCTCCACACCCAAGGTTCCTAGCAAGAGGTACTGAGATAGCCAGACAGAGCTGCTGCAGTCTCCTCTTGCCCTCTGACACTACTTCTGAGGCAGAAAAGGGTTTTTAGGAGCCTTACCCGGTGGTTGACACAACACAGCTGGCTGCGGAGCAGGAGGCAGGTTTGCTGCAGCAGCAGGTAGGAATCATTGCTGCTGTCAGCTTTCTGCAGGCAGGACTCCATCTCCTCCAAAAAAAGCTGGAAACCAACACACCAGCCTGAGGGCTGCAGCCTCGGGGATCAGCCAAGCTCGCCCCACAGCCCTTTCCCTCCCTGCCAGACTTACCTGGGCATAGCTGGGGCACTCCAGCTGGAAGAGCAGCTTGGTGAGCTGGCACAGGGCGCTGGCCATGCCCAGGCTGTCCCCAAGTGCACTGCACAGGGCTCTGACCAGCAGGTAGGTCTCCATGGCTTGCAAGGGCTGGGGTCAGGAAAACCCTCATGGTTACTCTCAGAGACCACCTCAGAGGGATTCTGTGTGCCTGGGGAGGCTGCCATCCCACTGACCACCTCCCCAGCAGCATTACCTTGGCCATCAGCTTGTAGAGAGCTGCCAGGAGGTGCAGGGAGGCTACAGTCTGCTCAGGGCTGCGCACGGCCGGGACACCCGGCGTGGCCAGGAGCTGCTTCCACAAGGCAAACGCGTCGTCCAGGCTTTTGGACAGAGCTGAGGGGGCACACCACAGGTCTGAGACACCCTGACCTGAAACCAGGTGCTCCTGGAAAGCCTCTTCACGAAGGGCCCAAACCCGCCAGCATCCTCACCAGTCTCTGTCACCAGGTTGAAAGAGATGCCGTCGTACAGGAATCTGTTCTCCAGCAGCCTGCCTTCGTAGTTGAGGTCGTTGGGCTCAAAGTCACCCAGGTTCGTTAGCCCCTGAGCTTTGGCTCTCTGGTCCCTCTCTATGCTCTGCAGCATGGGAGAAGGCAGCAGTAACACATGTTAAGAGACACCATCGTGTTTATCAGCGGGTTCTGGGTGGCTTTTGGTGGCCCCAGTGCAGAGCTGAGCATTGCCAAGGCTGAGGAGGGCACCTGATGCGTGCACGGACCCCCATGGCGTTTCTAGATCTGGACCCGTTTCAGCATCCCACAGCCCCCCCTCCACCACCCCCACCCACCTGCTCCAGCTTGGACTCTAGGGTGCAGATGTAGAGCCAGAGCAGAGCCTGTGCCTGGTCATCGAGGAGTCGGTCCCGGTTCTGGGCGCTCCTGGGCACCAACTCCAGCAGCCGCAAGGCTTCCTGGATGGAATCCAGGGAAGAGCTGCCAGACAGAGGGATTAGAAACAGCCTTCTACCCCCAAAACCCCTGGAGCATTTTAAGGGGAGGGATAGATACACCCCAGAACCCCAAACAGAGCAAACAGCCAGAGCACTAACACTCCAGATCCTTAAAACTCCCCCTGAGGACCCTCAAATGCTCCCTGGTGATGTTCAGGGAGGTGATCCCAGCACACCAGTGTCCACCCACCAGTCCGTCTGCTGGGCGTAGCTGTGGTAGCACAAGACCTGGGCCAACTCTGTCAAGCCGATAGCTCGCTCATGCAGGCGGCCGCTCTCCTCCGAGCAGATCTCCAGCAGGTCACAGAGGACATTGTAGCGTTCCTGCCCTGTGTTGGCTCGCACAGTCTTGTAGGCCTTCAACTCCGCAAAAAGGACAGTCACCAAGGTCTCTGCATCCAGGCTGTGCCCCTCCAAGCCTTCCTTCAGGGTCCTGGGAGAAACAGGAGCTGTAAGGGGGGCTCTGTGCAGAGCGCAGCGGAACCGGGCACATCTCGCAGGGAGAAACATCATCATTTTATTGGCTTGTGAACCACAGCTCTCAAGACTTCCACCCCCCACGCACCAGGCAGCCCTCCAGGTCTTACCGTAATCGTAACTCCTCAGCCCCCTGTTTTGCAGCATCTGTTTTGACTCTGACCCAGAGGGAGATGGGCTCTGCCAGCAGCTCCCCAATCTGGCCCTGCAGCGCAGCCAGCCACTGCACCACACATGCCAGGGCTCTCTCCAGCCGCCCCAGCTTGCGGTAACTTTCCACCTGCAGCCTGAAGCATTTGTGCAGCTGTGGGGAGACCACAGAGAACTGGCTTCAGCGCCCAGTGGGAGCAAAATCCCTCCATCCCATGTCCCGTACCGCAGCCCTCTTCCCTGCCTGGGCGAAGGGAAGACCTCAGAGCAGGGAACTGGGGTTGTTCCAGGAGCAAAAGCTGGTCCCATCCTCTCCTTTGCTCCCCTGGCCCTGGGACCAGATGGTTCAGCTCAGCCCCATTCAGTTTTGCCAGAAGCATCAGGCAAGCGCTTACCCTCTCCGGGGGTATCTCTGGACAAGCGTACGCATCTGCTGTCTGCAGCCACTTGCAGAGGAGCTCGCAGACAGAGCTGGCCTCCTCGTGAAGGTTCTGGTTGTAGAAGATATAGGCCAGCTTGAACGTGCATGACACTGCCACAAGTGAAAGCCGAATATTAAAGATGTGATGGAGAGAGAACGACCCCTCTCTCCCTGTCCAGCCAGGGACCATCACCCTCTGCCCTGGCCCCACCAGCCATGTGTTTTGCATGACGGAGAACCCCCTCGTTGCTCCCCAGATACACAGACCCCAAGCTCTGTGTCTGCGTTCGACCCCAGCCGGGGCTGAGATGCTGAGTTTGGTCCCACCCGCCGCAGCACTGACCAGTGACATCGAGGTACTGGGCTCTCTCACTCTCAGGGAGCCCCTCCAGTGCCTCCAGCATCCACGCCACGCTCCTCCTGCAGCCCGCCGTCAGCCGCTCCAGACCCGGCCAGCCCGCTGCCTGCAACGGCTGCAGGGAGATGGAAGCTGGCAAGAGGCCGCCAGGGACCCACAGCCCCCCAGAACCCCCCCCAGGGTGGCTTGAGCAGCCCCTTCCAACCCCACCAACGTGCTACCTCTGAAGGGAAAAGCCACCCAGCACCATGAGGGTCCCACCCACCCCCAGTGCCAGCAACCATCCCCTCCACTGCCGGTACCTGGGAGCACTGGAAGGTGTCGTAGGCCACACTGGCAAAGAGCTGGAGGCTGCGGTAGAGAAGCTGCTTCACCATGAGCTTCTGTTTGACACCATCGGGAGGAATCTGCAGAGGGGAGGGAAGGGGAAAAGCGGCATTCATGGGGCCTGGGCAGCACTGGGTGCTACTGCTCAGGATGGGGACACCAGACAGGGACACTTCGCTAATGGATTAAGGGGAGCATCAAGCCTGGAGTGGGGTTACAAACCTTCCAGCTACTAACAGAAGCTCTGGTTGACCACGCTACATGGTCACCCCACTCCCAGCCCCAGCCTTACCCTCTCCAGCAGCCGGTAGAGGACACGGCAGTGCCCCTCGGTGAAGGCACAGAAGCCGAGCACGTCCTCCCGGCCAAAGGGCCACTGCTTGCTCCTCTTCGCGTACTCGCCCAGGGAGGAGACGATGAGCTGGCAGCTCTCAGCCAGCACCCTGAGGAACCGCTCCGATGCCTCCGCTGCCATGCCGAGAGCCGCCGCAGCCTGGGAGAAGGGCGGCCCCGCGGGGCAAGCGCTCTCGGCCAGCACCTGGCTCAGCTGAACCCCAGCCTCCAGGAGGGACAGAGGATCACCAAAAGAGTTCACAGAGCTGCCGGTGGCCCCCAGGAAGCCCCTCGCGTCCTTTACCGCCTTCTTGGCTGCCCTGTACTGGCCGCTTTTGCAGAGATGCCAGCACTGCTCCAGGGTGAGCTCGAAGAAGCAGAAGGATTGCTGGAGGGTGGGCGGCTCCGTCGCCTCCTTTCGCAGAGCTGCGAGCAAGCAGTCCCCAAGCTGCCGGCCGAGGAAAGCCGAGGACGGCGCCCGCTGGGCTTCGTACAAGGTGGCGGCGGCAGCTGCCTGCTGTGCCGTCTGGGAGGTGAAGAAGGGGGGCTGCAGTGGCGGCAAGGCCACCCCGTCCTCTTCCAGCAGCAGAAGGAAGCGCAGGGCTCGCAGACGGATTGAGAGGACAGCTCTACCCTCCTCCTGTGGCCGGTCAGGCTCAGCCAAAGCGTCCGCCCCTCTCCAGAGCACGCTGAAGCTGCTGTGGACGATGGCTGTGAAGTCCTTGGAGGGTGCCTGGCCAGGGCGGTAGGTCAGCAGCCGGGCACGGAGGAGGTCAGCCACCCTCCAGCAGGCATCGCCGCTCCCCCGGCCGGCCGTGTTCCTCAGCAGGTGGTAGAGGATCTTCTCCAGGTAGAGGGGAGCAGGCTGCGGCACGGCGGTCAGGTAGCCCTGGCACGCGGCCTCAGCCACGGCCACCAGGCTGGCGGTGTGTGCCGGGCAGCCCCCGGGTTTGGCCATCTGCTCAACACAAATCCGCAGGACCCTGTCGCAGACCTGGCTTTTCTGCAGCCGGGAGGCCTGGCTGGCATCGGAGGCACCTCCCGGGGAGTGTAAGAGCCATTTCTGGAGAGGGGAGGATGTCAGACCTCTGGCACCCAGCCCAGAGCCTTCCAGGGGAGGGTTCCCCCCCCACAGTGCCGGCAGCAGAGCCCCCCCCGGTCCCCGGCTTACCCACAGCTTGGCGAGCAGCTCGGATATGCCCTCCCAGCCGTCCATCCGGGCGGCGAAATCAGCTGCTTTCGGGTGTTTCTGATGTGACACCAGGCTGGGGTGGGCAGGGAAAGGTGTGGGACCCCCACAGCTCCCAGCCCCCCTCCGGGCTCGCAGGCTCCCCAGTGCTCACAGGCAACTCCCAGCCCCCACTCCCGAGGCCTCCTCAGTGCTCACAGCCCCCCACCACACCATTCTCCAGCCCCCTGGGAGCCCCCAACTCCCTCTCCAGTCCGTCCCCCCAAGACCCACAGCCCCACTCCCCAGCCCCTTGGGGGACCACACAACCCCCCCAGCCCCACTCTCCGGCCACCCCGGTGCCCAAAGCCCCACTGCCTGGCCCCCCTAGGGGCTCACAGCCCCCACCCCCAGC